ACTATATGTCAACTATTTCTGAACTAAATATAGGGGAGGAAGAATATCGAAGGAGAATAGAGGATCTTAAACTTCGATTGCAAGATATTTCAAACGAAGTTCAAGATCTTCAAATTAGTATTCAAGAGCTTCATCAAGAAATTGCGGCTAGAGATCAGAGGCTTCAGTTTTTATTATATTTAGTTATTATTTTCAATTTTTTTAAATAAATAAATAAACATTTAATTAAATTTAAACAATTACGATTCTTTTCCCCGCCCGAGGAGATAGTCATTCCCAAAATAAGTATATGAGCGAGTCGATTGATCGAAAACACAACCACGAACGCTATGCTCTTGGAATTTTAACTGACGATAACTATAACAGGCTATTAAAAAATTATATCTTATTGTTATGTACGAATTCTAGTAATTTCAATTACAAACGTTGACGACCATAATCGACGTATACATTGATTACAGATCTTTGACTTGCTCTACTCTACAACTAGGAATTAGAATGTAACGATCTTGAAATGTTAACCGGTGATGACTTTAACATTTGTTTACATGCTGTAAAAAAATCATTATCGATTATTATGTACGAATTCAGCGATTATGATCGACAAACGTACTACTTTTCAATACGTTAAGTTGGTAAAGGAAATATAATACACCAACCAAAAGTCATACAGGAAACATGCCGTAATGTCACTATGTTCCAATGTCGATGAGAATTCAACATTTTAATGTATAAAAACCATTATCAAAGATGTATAGAACAAAGATCGGTCTATAACATGGTAACAAACTTGAAGTGAAATTGAAAACGTATACTACAGTACTAATGCATCATATTGTTAGTAAGAAAGACGATGGGAGTGATTATAGTTAAATTGACTGTGGTAGCCAAAAGTCATGCTGTAATGTCACTGTGTTACAACGTCGATGAAGTTAAAATTCAACACCAAGGTGTACAGGTCTATTACTATAATATGGTAATAAACTTGAAAACGTATACATCATATTTTCAATAAGAAAGACGATTGGAGATGATTACATTCAAATTGGTTATGATATACCAAAAGTCGCACAGGAAACGCGTTTAAGCTTTAATTGAAATAAAGATTGATTTCGCGTTTTCGAATAATCAAGCTAATCGTTAATGCAAACTCAAAATTGTACTTAATATTCCGGGTCAAATTTTTGCACACATATTGACAACAGTTATACTTAACATGTATATAAATTTTATAAAGATATGATTCTTGGTTGCTGATTTAGGGATTCTAGCGATAATAATAAAGATTGATTTCGCGTTTTTGAAAAATCAATGTTGTTGTCGTAGCAAGTTGTATTTCAAAGCATACAAGAAAACTCAATGGCCTGTTAACAGAATAGTCGCAGATTTCGCTCTCACCTTACCCATATACGTCATACTTACAGGATCTTCTTTCCCTTATTTCTCCAAAACGGTTGCTGTAATAAACAAAGTGGTAATAATTAAAAAAGTAGTTCACAAATAGAACTCTATTACTACTAGTATGGCCATGCCAGCGTCTAGTCGCAACCGAAGAAACTATGCGTAATGTGGGAAGAAACTATAATAATGTCATATTTTGCCGGGTAAAACTTTTTCAACAGATTCCCGCTGAAAAACCGTTTATTTTGTTGCAAGAGAAAAACTGTTCGAAAAAGCAAGTCTAGAAGTTACAACCGTATCAGGTGTTCGATTGTGACATTCTATACCTTGATTATGTGGAAAAATTCAACCCCTAAATTTCATATGTGCGAATATGTGACTTCGGACATGATCGACAAAAAAATTCGGAAAAGGTGGCTGGCCAATAATTTTGTGAAATGTCCAGTGACTCTCAGGAGTTGAGAGCAACTTTTCTTTTTCTCTCTCTTATTTCGTTCCTAATCCCTTTTTTATTCACAGAATTCAAGAATTCATCAATATCTTTACCTTCTGATGATTTGGACTCTATGCAAATAGGCTGATGTAAATCAGATTTCGATGCATTATCTGATACATCAGATGCCGGTGCGTCTTCATTTCGCAAGATCATTTGTTTAGGAATATGGTTAGAACTTATTTCAGGGGAAACAGTAATTGGAGCCTGCGAAATATTAGCAACAGTTTGACAACACGCCGTGCAAGCTCTGCCCCTTGATTAGTGAGACATCGCGTTCCAATTTAACAATAAGGCTAGTTTTTTCTTTATCGCTCTGTTCCAGTTTAGCAATAAGGTTGGTCTTTTCTTTATCTCTCTGCTCTAGATTCGTGAATTTGGCTTCAACTTCTTCTTTATCTTGTTTTAGTTTTATATTTTCAGATCTGATATCAGTATTCTCTTCTCTAAGTTTATCGATTTCGGCTATAAATCTAGAATTCAATTCCTTCAATGAATCAACTGTGGATTGTGCGCTTGCCATTATTTTATTTAATTTATGAATATATTCAAAAGGTTAATCACACGAAAAAATATTGGTGTGTAAAAATCGCGTTAATACGCCTTTGCTTTATTTATTGTAATAAAAATCGAAAAGAAAGTCAAATCTATCTATTGTTCCTATACTATTTGCCTACACTATAAATAAATTATCTAACTAAAACATTATTATGATCCAGTTTTAATATCCTGGATAGAATAAAAATGATTATTAATTGCACGAAGCAATCCCCCAATGTGTATCATTTGGTTGTCCGTTATCTGAACTTATCATTTTCAAACTCTAGAGAAGAAGGTTGAAAGTTTATGTTGCTTGCCATTTGCGATGCAGATAAATTTCGTGGCAATCTGTACGAAACAATAGTTATTTAATGAGCGAAATATTCGTGTCCGTGTCATTATTGTCTGGAGGACATTATATTTCTATGCAAAGTGAAAATTTGATCAGTCACGGGATCCGGCCATGACATGTGATTTTTATCCAATATATATATATATATATTTGCTTTTTAGCTTGTAAACGCGTCCGTCGCGATGTCCATTAATAAAGTACATAAATATTTCAATCGCAAATATAAAGATTGGAAAATAGTCGTATTTTTAAATGAATGCGAAATAGAACCATTCGATAGGAAAATAGACGCTTATCTTAAGATCTTGAAATCATTGATATGGGACGAGGAAAGAGACAACAAAAAGCATCTCAGCTTCTTGACAGATATCGTAAGGCAAGTAAAAACTTTCCGCTACAATGGTGGCGTGACAATCGTAGGCCTGATCGGTCTTTTGTCATTCAAGGCTGTTCGCTGAGCCACAAACCAGTGTTAGAGCACAAGTAATCTGCTCGGTTACTTGTCGTTCAAGGCTGTTCGCTGATCTAACACTGGGCCCATTGGGGTCAGGTGGCCTGCTCGGTTACCTGATGCTTGAATGGGATGAAAATAAAAATATGAGAAGTTCTACTAATTTTCAAATTTTCTGTGCTAGAATCCTAGCAGATCATAATATCGCGAAATCCTGGGAAAAGGAACGTACACGCAAACAAGTTCACCTACACCAGCGAATAAGAACTGTAAATGGAGTTAACGGAACAGTTAACGGGGGAAAAGTTGAAGCCAACAGCAATCCACTTCTTAGAAGAACACCGAGAAAAATAAACAGAATAAATTATGCCGAAATTCAAAAAGAGTGAATAATACCAGCAAGCGAACCCATGAAGAGGTATGTAAAATGCTGTTAGTCAATATTTCCTGTTTCGTCATTTCTAATTTTTCCAATGTTAGGTTTATGATGATGAATATGATGAAATTGACAACTACGACGAAAGTGACTACGACGAAAGTGACTATGATGAAAGTGATGACAAGAATGAAGACGAAGATGTCAACAAAGATGATGACTATGACAATGAGAATGAAGGCGAGGATGTCGACAAAGATGTCAATGAAGATATTGATGAAGATGATGACAAAGATATCAACAAAGATGACAACAAAGACAAGAAGGCCAAGGAAAAAATGAAGTTGGAGAAAAAGTTGATTGATAATTTTGTTTCGAGATTTAAGGCAATAAATGTGGATAACAAATGGAAACTTCCTTCAGGTAGATTTATAGAAGATGTCTTATATGATTGGGCAGTGGCTCACCATTCTGAAACATAGATATACTGCATTCATTGCATTGATCATATTGGTTACTAAATATATGTGTAATGACTAACCATTTCTTTGTCTAAATATTTCATTAAGACTTGCACATTCTTTTATATTAGACACTGATTGTCAAGAAGTTATGGATCTGTTTAGTCCTGAGGAAAAGGAGACAATTTTAAATACTAGTAAAAAGTCTTTTCCAGCTGTACAAGATGATATTAAAAAATATGTCATGAAATATTACAAGGTACGTGGGGGTGCTGAAAAGTTTTGTTGCCGGGGTTATATGTCAATGATCAGCTGACCGATCCAAAAATGGAAGTAA